TAACATAACTGCCTCTGCACATTAACAATGCAATGAAATGGAAATCATGTGCAAAAATCATGGAAGGCAATAAGGGGGTGAATATGTTGACTTTGGGATCCGCTGTCGCTAAGACTTGATAGTGGATAAATAACGAACCGTAGAAGGATTAATTACCTGGGGTCCAGTAGGACGCAAATGAAGGAGTGGCATGAGGAAAGCGGCATAGTGAGGCTTTCACTTCATCACTCCATTCAAGGATTGAATAATAAAGTCATAAATAAAGTAAATTGGATGGAAAAGCCACCATGGCCTTTTGGATCTAATGCAAAATGGAGCAAAATCGAATACAGACTGGACACGTTGGGGGGATGTTTCCAAAGAGAAAATAAGAACATAAGAGCGGCCAGACTGGGTCAGACCAAAGGTCCATTTAGCCCAGTATCCTGTCTTCCGACAGTGGCCAGTGCCAGGTGCCCCAGAGGGAATGAACAGAACAGGGAATCACCAAGTGATCCATCCCCTGTTGCCCATTCCCAGCTTCTGGCAAACAGAGACTAGGGACACCCTCCCTGCCCATCCTGGCTAATAGCCATTGATGGACTTATCCTCCATGAACTTATCTAGTTCTTTTTTTAACCCTGTTATAGTCTTGGCCCTCACAACATCCTCTGGCAAAGAGTTCCACAGGTTGCCCATGCATTGTGTGAAAAAATACTTCCTTTTGTTTGTTTTAAATCTGCTGCCTATTGATTTCATTTGGTGACCCCTTGTTCTGGTGTTATGAGAAGGAGTAAACTTCCTTGTTTACTTTCTCCACACCAGTGATGATTTTATAGACCTCTATCATATCCCCCCTTAGTCATCTCTTTTCCAAGCTGAAAAGTCCCAGTCTGATTAATCTAGGCCCCAATCCTGCGTCAGTGCCAGCCAGGGACGTTTTACTGCTGACTTCAAAGGGAGCGAGATTGTGGCAGCAGCTCCAGTAATGTCAGTGGAGCTGCATCAGGGAGTTTGGGGGTAGAATTTGGCCTCCTGGTTCGTCTATGGCAAGGATTGCACAGCTGGCTCTTTCAGGTGAGAAGCACTGCACCCTGCTGCCCTTATTATTATTATCTTATTAATCTCTCCTCAGACGGCAGCTGTTCCATACCCCTAATCATTTTTGTTTCCCTTTTCTGAACCTTTTCCCATTCCAATATATCTTTTTTGAGATGAGGTGACCACATCTGCACACACTATTCAAGCTGTGAGCGTACCATGGATTTATCTAGAGGCAGTATGATATTTTCTGTCCTATTATCTATCCCTTTCTTAATGATTCCTAACGTTCTATTCGCTTTTTTGCCTGCCGCTGCACACTGAATGGATGTTTTCAGAGAACTTTCCACCATGACTCCAAGATCTCATTCTTGAGTGGTAACAGCTAATTTAAACAACAAGGAGTCTGGTGGCACCTAAAAGACTAACAGATTTATTTGGGCAAAAGCTTTCATGAGTAAAAACCTCACTTCTTTGGATGCATAGAGTGAAAGTTACAGATGCAGGCATTATATACAGACCCATGGAGAGCAGGGAGTTACTTCGCAAGTGGAGAACCAGTGTTGACAGGGCCAATTCAATCAGGGTGGATGTAGTCCACTCCCAATAATAGATGAGGAGGTGTCACTCACGAAAGCTTATGCCCAAATAAATCTGTTAGTCTTTAAGGTGCCACCAGACTCCTTGTTGTTTTTGTAGACACAGACTAACACGACTACCCCCTGCTACTTAACAGCTAATTTAGACCCCATCATTGTACATGTATAGTTGGGATTATGTTTTCCAATGTGCATTACTTTGCATTTACTTTGCAAATCAATCAAGAATGACAAGCAACATGTACAAAAACCAGGAAATAACAGAAATGCTCTGTTTTCCAGCTCAATCCGAAGACTCGGTATGATAGTCTATGATGATTTGTTTGATGGTGTCTTTTGGGTAGAGGGAGAGGATGGGGAATCAATTTTGCAGGACAGACGTAGGTGGCTGTTCTTCTCTGGGCCATTAGATGTCAGGATTTCCAGCTTTTGCGCAACATGAACTGAAGACGCTAATCCAAGTACTGTACAGGCTCAACCTTGTAAGTGCGTATCGGCTACCCTTGGAAAAGTGCCCTCAGCTCCCATTGACAGGGCTGAGCACCGGAGGATCTAGCCCTCCGGGAGATCTGTTGAGCTGCAAGCTGCAAAGAAGCCAATACAGGTTTTTATTTGGTTCCTTTCTGTCGAAACTAAGGCCGTGATTCTGCCATGAGCCCCCTGCTGCCAGATACTTGTACCACCCAAAGAGAGCTCCATTGAAGTCAGCTGGCTCCACACAGCACAGGGGCTCAAGTATCTCTTAATAGTGCTTTGAATCTATAAAAGGGCGGTGTTGTCTACTGATGGGCACATAAAACTGAGAGCCAGGAGCACTCGGGATCTATCTTCAGTTCTGCCACTGATTTTTTTCTGTAGCCTTGGACTAGTCACTTAGCCCACCTGCCTCAGCTTTCCCCTCTGTAAAATGGGGACAACAGAACTCACCTGCCAGTTAAGAGGTTGAATTTACTAATACTTGTGAAGCTTTGAAGACAAAATCACTCCCAGTGCTAAGCGGTATTATTGATTATTATATATTTGTTCACTATTATTAAATGCTGTCAACATCTGCAGGAAGAACTCAATATCCTGGCGATCTTAACAGGTAAAAAGCCTTTTGGTTTCCCCTTTAAAGAAGTGGGGCACCCTGGGCCTGTTGTTTAGTCATTGTGTTATACAAACTAATCTCATTTATACTTCTGCACATTCTTGGGACTCATCGATGCAGAAAGCAGTCTGTAGGAACGCTCCTTCGGTATGGATTTTCTTTTCAGAAGCATTTGCCATTTGGAAACAATAAGAACAGGTTAAAAAACATGGCTGCATCTAAAGCTCCCAGCAAAGGCTCCTAGATCTTGAAAAGCAAGTGACGGTGATATGCAGTGGGATCCAGTGTTAGCGATCAGAGATCAAATCTCTTCCTAAAGCCTCTGCCTATTTGCGCTGCTGCCTTTTGCCCCTCATTTCCAGGAGGGACGTCATCTATATCACACCAATCTTGATCTAGCTGGACTATCCCCTGAGCACCTCTCCTCCCTCCCACCACCATGGGAGAATCCTGCAGGATTGGAAATGACATGCATTTCCTAGCGTGCGTTTTATTACAGTTCTAAAATGTTTAAGTAAAACTGTGCTCTCTGGATCCACATCCTCATTCTAATAAAATCACCAGAGCCCGGTGCCAATAACTCATAAAAACAGGGGGGGAGGGAAACACTATATTTAAAAATATATACATACCTCTGCTTCAACAAATTGTTTAATCGTAAGATGTCACAACAAAGTATATGATTTACATGGTTAACTGAGGCTGAGGAAAGTAACAAGAGGGTGAAATATCGCAGACAAACATGGGTAATACAGATTTAATTGTTTTATTATAAGACCATTTTACTGGGTGTGCTGCAATCAGAAATCCGTATCTATTTACAGGGAAGGAAATAAACTAATCAAAGAGGTTATTTACAAACAATGTATATTTTTCCATAAAGCACCTGCATTTATACACCTAAAGGACACTCAGCATGTCCCTTAATCCAAGACAGCCATTCCAATAGTAACAGGAAGTGCCTAGCACCTTGTCTAGATGAGGATAAAAATGCATTGCTTCCACAACAGCTAACATATGCCAACTAATGTGTTCTAAAACTCGTCTAGACAAGGAGTGTAGACTTAACACATGCTAAACTGGGTGCGTTAACTTGACACTCCCACCCACGGTCTGCGGCTACCAGCAAACGTGTTGAAAATTGCCCTGTCTACACTGGGGTTTTAACTTGTGTTAGCTAATTTGTCAAAAACACGATTTTTTTTCCTACTGAGGAAAAGGCCTACATTCTAGCCTACCCAAGATCTACATAAGGGCTGCAGATTTCATGCCCAGTAAAATAGCTCTGAATTGGATAAGAAAGTGTTTTGATTTAAAGGGGGTTCAGGTCAAAGGGATTTTACAGTCGGTTATATCAGCTCCTAGTTAATCCATTCATCATGAGACAAGGCCAATTCTGCATCCTCACCCAATTTGTCCTTGTCTGACTCAGGAAGGGAAGGGTTAAGTACTGAATTAGGATTTCCAGAGCTGGGCAATAGAGAATCCCAAATGGACTGATCAGCTACTCAACGTTTGGTGAAGAGGTTTGCATTTTGCAGGGCAGAATGCATCTGAGCGTACGGCGTTTTCTCCAGCTGGTGATTTGTGGGCGAGCCTAAGGCACAGACAGCAGGGGAGGGTGCAGGTTAGGACAGCCCATTCCCATCTGTACTGATCTGTTGTTGCTCTCAAGGAGAGGACACGCCTACGTCCTGACTTCATGGATTCCAGATGTTGACCTGGCGGCCCAGCCGTCTCTCAGCAGAGGTTGTGTGGTCCCCCTGGTCTGTCAGCACCTTATCACACCCGGATTAGCTCTGTGATTTCCCGCCCACTCTTATTGTTTTGGTTTCTTTATACAACATGTAGGTGCCCACTCCTGCAAAGAGCTGATTTCTTCCAACTCACAGTGAAGTCAATGGGCCAAATTCTCACTGAGGCTGAACAGCAAGATTAATGGAATTCAGCTGGTGTTTAGCACCTCTCAGAATGCAACCCAGTGGGAGCCCTGCCTTCCTGACCCTTCCTGGCCGCTGCTTTCTTGCTGAAGATGATGATTTTATTTCAAGCCCCTGATACAGGCCATTCTACACGTATCTGTGAGGCGCGACTTAGCATCCCGCTCACAGACGCTGGAGGCCAGGCCTCTGGATAAGCAGTTCAAAATAAAAGCGGCGCTCTAGTCTCCTCATTTCCTGTTCCTCACACTCTGGTGTCCATCGCGTACATTTTGGCAGTCGCTGTCTGAGACGATGGATAGTATGTGTTTGCCACAGTCGTTCCAGCTGGGGAATACATCTTCCTCAAGGAATTAGGGGAATAGAACCTCCCAGAGCCAACATCTGTGTTGCAAAAGGAAAGAAAGAGGGAAAGCTGATTAGCAATGACCCAGCCATTTCCCATCAGCAAAGTGGCCTCCGAATACAGTGCGATGAGGGTTCCAATTTGTTAATAAGGTAAATAATAACACTACACTTTACACTTAGACCTCATCTTCCATCTGAGGAGCTCAAAGCCCTTCACAAAGATGAGTAAAGTATTACTATGCCCATTTTACAGGCAAAACACTGCTGCACACGTAACCATCACCCAGGATGATGCTGGATAGGAGATGAAGCTTTTTATATAGGCTCTGTGCTATTGGGGACTGGGCCTTTAAGGACTGAGCTTCCCAGACAGAGCACCTGGGCAGGGTGCTGGGAAGCTCTTGTTGTTTGGCGCAGCCAGTTGGACGGAACCAGACACAGAACACAGCAGATCTCCTGCGAGCACATGAAGTACTGAGTGATCTCTGAACGCCACATTCTCCAATGCAGTCAGATCAGGAGTGATCCTAAGGTAATAGCCTCTGATAGGCCGCTGGAGAGCGACAGGAAATGTGTGAAGAATCTTGGTCCTGTTCTAAGCGGCTTAGGATCCACAACCCAGCAGTCAAACCCACACTGGTATTCTCCGCTGTGAATTCAAGGGTCTAATGGACACACAGACTTGAGCTCTCCTCTCTGCCCCAGAGATGCCCCCTAAGCAACGTTCTATCGCTCTGGGCTCCCACGAGATTATTACCCTCGTCTTGACTGTGTTTAGTTGATGCCGTTGGGTCTTACCTCGGAAGAGATACATGCAGCAGGTGAGCACAGCCCCAGATAAGAAGCAGCCCAGGGACCCAGCCATTCCGAGCCAACAAGACCAGCCAAACTTATACTGGATGCCCAGAAACACATTGTGAAAAACCAGGGAGGAGCGCTCCACGTACACCCCGAGGGCGTACCAGACTGAGCCAATAAGGCCTGGGAAGCCTGCAGGGCAGGAGAGAAGAGCACCGGAGAGATCTGTCAGACAGGTCACGGTGATTACCGGGACTATACGATTCCTGGAGTGTACTCTGCCATCTCCTAACCCACCCGTTAGCTCCTGCTGACTTCATCTGGCGGGACCCATGTGTACTCAAGGGCAGTTTATACTCGATGGGTTTGCTTGCTCAAACGTGTGATGGACACTCTAGCTGGCTGACATCTTTCAAATTTTGAAACCTCTACTTAAAAGTGTGGTGGGGGGGAGGGGAGATTATATATCTATGCAATTCCCCACTGCCCCACCATCCCTTGTTTATCAACTTGTAGCTGATTAGGAGTTTTTGAATTTCAATGTTTTTCAGGCATATTTTGAATTTGGATACACATCCGGAGGAAATTGCCAACAAAATGTTCACAAAGTGCTTTTCGATTAGCTCTAATACGCACCGGGCCATATAGAAGCGGATCTCTGAGAACATTATAAGCACATGTATTCATAAGCCTCCCAGTAATTGGCATTAGAGTCTTTATATCTGTGAGGGAAGTGAAATTGGGAGAGCTTTTTTAATATTGGTGCAAATCCAAATAAATAAAGTTACTTTGTCCATAGTGAGCCAATGCTATAACTTGGCACCTATTTATCCTAGTTACTTCTCTGGTCCCCATCACACTAGTGTCTAAGAATCTCACACTCTAATGTTGTTAGCCTCAGAATACCCCGGTTGTGAGGCTAAGGCAGGGCAGTGCTCTTATCCCCATTTTACAGATGGGAAACTGAGGCACAGAGAGGCTAAGTAACTTGCCAGGGTCACAGAGGAAGTCAGTGGTATAGTAGAGAATTGAATTTGATTCTCTGGCTAGCAGCCTAACCATTGGACCGTGCTTCCTCTCATAGAGCGTGTGTCTCAGCCCACTAAACTACTCACACTCCTTTGCACTAATTATTTATTTTTAATCGGGCCATCCATGATCATGTGACCGACCATACTGAACAAATACCTGCTATGAGCAATGTAACTCCAGACACGAGACAGATGCGCAGCTTGATGGTGGGCTCGTCCGTGAGGAATTTGACACAGTCAAGTCCCAGGAGCAGGAAAGCGAATCCAAACCCCGCCAGGATGTCTGCTGTGATCATCATGGCTCTGGTCAGCACCAGCTTCACTGCAGGACAGGGTAGGGGATTGTGGTGCAGCAAGGAGATACAGCCAGGATCCTAAAAGCTAAAGAACTAGGGGCAGGTCTACACTACCGTGTGAGTCGAGGTAACTTACGGCACTCAGGGGTGTGAAAAAGACACCCCCCCAAGTGACACAAGTGACAGCGACCTAAGCGCTGTCCACACCAGTGACATAGCTTCCGCCTCTCGCAGAAGTGGAGTAATTACGCTGACGGGAGAGCGCGCTCCCATTATCACAGAGCATCTTCTCCAGACATGCCCATTGAAATCAAAGCACCCGGGGTGGCAGAATCTCTCCAGAAAGGGGTATTGCATGAAACCTTAGGCCTGGTGATCAGCTGACATCTGCCACTTCCCAGCCACATTTAATCCCCAAAAGAGAGTGGCTGCTTGCAGTGCTCTAAAATGATTAAGTCCCCCACATAAAAATCATGGTGGGAAGGGACCTCAAGAGGTCATCTAGTCCAACCTCCTGCTTGAAGCAGGCCCAATCCCTAGACAGCTTTTTTTTTTTTGTGCCCCAGATCCCTAAATGGCCCCCCTCAAGGATTGAACTCCTAACCCTGAGTTTAGCAGGCCAATGGGCAAACCACTGAGCTATCCCTCCCCCCATAGGGACAGCCCTTGCCTTATAACTCATTCACTTTGCAGTGAAGACAAGCCCTAAGCCTTCAGGTTTCTAAGAGTATCAAATCAGCTTTACATCTTGCAATATGATAAAAATCTCCTGTGGAGCCTACCATAAAAAATCTGTCCTTGGAAAGGGGATTGTTTGAAGCTCCTTCACCAGAGGTTTTCTAAAGGAGGCTGGATAGCCACCTGTAACAAATGCTGCATCTTGGCAGGGGGTTAGACTAGATCAGGGGTTCTCAAACATTTTTTGCTGGGATCCCCTTTGAAAATATTTCAGGCTTTGACAATCTCCACTCCCACAAAAAGTGACGACCCCCCGCATACCATGCCTTACTTCTGCGCTGCTGCTGGGGGCCGTGCTGCCTTCAGAGCTGGGGCCTGGCCGGCAGCCGCTGCTCTCCAGCCACCCAGCTCTGAAGGGCTCGGGCTGACAGCACGAACCCCCTGCATGCGTTGGGGGCTGATAGCTCGCAAACCCCCTCCTGAATAAGCTTACGACCCCCAGTTTGAGAACCCTTGGATTAGATGACCCTTGTGAACCCTTCTAACCCTATGGTTCTATGTTCTCTACCTGCACAGTTTGTGATTGAAATCTGAAGCATACGTACAGGGGTGCTCGGCAAATATAGAGTCATACTCGTCACAGGTTTGAATCCCATCGAACACGTTGGTGACGCATTCCCACCACAGGCCACGGCACTTTGTGCTCACCTAGAAGTAAAAAAGCAGCGAGTGAGCGCACCCCAATGCAACAGCAAGGAGCCAGAGGAGAGAGCGTGAGGGACATTTTAGCCCAGCGAAGTCAATGGCAAAACTCCCATTGACTTCCACAGGGGCTGGTCTTCGTGACTGGACAATTGCTCAAGCGAAAGTGTTCAGTGTACTGAGACCACTCCCTATCACGCCGACCCATACTGTCTCATCGTTTTCTTGTGCTCCCCTGTCTGCAGCCCCCTGTTGTCTCTTCTCTTACGCTTAGATTGTAAGATCTTTGGGGCAGGGACTGTTTGTACAGCACCTAGCACAATGGGGTTCTGGTCTGGGCCTGGGATGCCTAGGTCCGACAGCAATACAAATAGTTGATGACAATAAGAGTTTTGCCATTTCCAGAATCAGGCCCCAGGCTGGTGGTTACCAACATGCCTGGCACGCAGGTCACTCGGAACTGAAAAGTCACTGTATAACTTGGTTCTGAGGGAACATTGCTTTAAATTAAGACCATTCTGCCCCGTATAATTTTACCTCTAGCCACCAGGAATTTGGTAGGGGAAAAATCCCATGGCTTATGCTTTGGGGTTTCCTGTTTCAAAGTGAACTTAGTGGGAGTGACAGCTGCTGAACTGACATCCCCAGGGACTCAGGTCCTCTCCTGAGTGTGTGGACAAGGTGGCCAGCTGCCATGACGACTCCCCCCAGGCTGCCTTTTTGCCCTGGGACCGTAACTTGGGTTGAGGTCATTCACCATTCATGCCCCCTTGCCCAGATTCCCAGCCCCTGAGCCTTCCCACCCAACCCCCCAGAAGTCAATCTAACACGGAAGGTATTTTTGTTAGCACTGTAAATATGCCAACGGGAATTAAGCACCTCTTGTGTATTCTTGGCATTGCTCGTACGTATAGCAGGGAGCAGGGCTAACGTGTGTGCTACCTTGGACTCAAGTCTGCATTGCGGCTGCTAGAGAAATCCCAGCCTAGTTTAACAAAAGAGTAACCCCTGTAGGAAAGAGGAACAGTTCCTCTTGTTTGGATGATGAGACAAATCTACTTTTTTGGATGGCAGAACGCACCAAATATCAGCCTTAAATGTAGTAATAATCACAGGTACCAACCCAGTTAATAGGACATGTTACACAACTTGTAATCTCTTGAGCTAGGGGAAATGATACCACTCTATACTGAAAGAGAATACTCGGTACATCTATGACTGGGTATATAAGCTATCCCTCTTGGCGTAAGACAATACCTTACTGGTTTTCATTACTATTACACACTGGACTGACAGTTTAAATGTTGGTTCTGTCAGTTCAGCCGGTCCTTTCCCTCTAACATATTAGCTAAGCCATGGCCCTTAGGCTACCCTTCGAAGGGGTATATTGATACTCCAGCACAATGCTTTTCACTTAGACACATTCCATTTCCTATTCCACCTAGTGTCAGAGCGTCAGAGAGCTTAAGGCCAGAAGGGACCATTAGGTCATAGGCCAATAACTTGTGTTAGACTAAAGCATTTCAGTCCTCAGGATGTTAACCTGTCGTGTGCCACAGGCAGAGAACTGCAGAGACCGAGGCTGTCACTCAGCCAACTCATCCTGAGAACAGCTAGCGCCTACAGTCAGACACCGCCCCCACTCACCCCCAAGTTTAGTGTCGCCTTCAAAACGACGGATTTCAGATAGATCTATACTCCAAATCTAGAGCTCTGCAGGGCTTCAGGACTCACCAGCTTCCATGGAGAATCTACCCCTCTATGTGCAAAACTCTACCCTGGGCCTGAAATCTGCACCGAGCCCTTTGCTAACCCAAGAGAGCTCAGTCAAAGTTGTGTGTGTCTTGGTGTGTTTTGACTGTTGCCCCCCAATCCTGGCCCTGAATTCATTCAGACAGCAATGGCAAAGGCCAAAACACCATGGGAGAGGTTCCTGTCTTCCCGCATTCTTCCAAGGTGCCTCTTACCTCTGCACTGCCTTCCCTGTCTGTACCTGTACGGCCACTCCCCACCCCTCAGTCAGAGCTCGTCCCCAGATCCACCTCTGCTGCAGAGCCAGTATAGAATGAGCCATCTCACCCCGGCTCAGTTGAGGAGAGCATGGGGCTAATTGGCGCGCTATTGTAACGGGCCTGTTTCATCCTTGGGCTACACCAGTTGTGTGCTGGGGTAACTCTGTTAACCTCCTTCGCTATGTTGCTCTCCCCCGACCTCTCCTGTGTCGTCGGTCTTTTCAGCCTGTTAGTTAGGTTGTATTTCTCTAGGTACTGACACGGCTGTCATCACAACAGTCCCTGAGCGCCTCCCGGAATAATAAAGAGAATGGCAAGCACACGGCTCTGTCTGAAGGGCAAAGGCTGTGTTCACCTTATATGTTTGCACCATGCCTAGCAGAACGGGGCCCTGGTCCTGTGCCGACAACTCCACTCCTCTGGCACAATGGAAATTTCTACCATCAGAATAAAGCTCATCTGGGCACCAAGTCAGAGCTTCCTTGGGGGCCGGGCCAAGACTGTGGAACGAACTTCCCAGGATCTAAAACTCTCCACCTTCAGCTCCCCCTGTCAGGTGCATTTCTGACACGTCTTCTGTAACATAAACATAGAGCAATGCGTGTCTCTAGTTCTAGAGAGCATTTTAAAAATGACAACACAAACCACTGCCCTACACACACTTTCCCGCCCAAGGAGAGGATGAGAGACCCAAACACATGACAGATGTCATGGAATGCAGGTTGGAAGGCTCTCAGATACTAAGGTGATGAATATGGTAGAAGAACTGTTAGAGAATACAATAAAAATGTTAATAATAACTTCTAACCTGGCTGAAACCAGAGAGGGATGACGTCCCCCGAGAGAGCTTTTTCTGAAGCAGTTTCCAGGCCCGGGAGAGTTCGGAGGCCTGTTCAAACTTATCCCAAGTGAACGGAGCCTCTAGCCCAGAAGCTCCCAAATGTCATTGGTTCGTGGTCCACTTTCTTAACAGATGGTTGTGAAGTGAATGGAGGGAATATCAAGTTGATGTTCCCCCAGTGGTACGTGCACTCAGTTTGGGCACCCCTGCTCTAGGGTACTGCGATCCCAACCCAGCAGCGTGCGTAGTGATGCTCACAACGAAGGAAACCTAACTCCGGCTCAAACTAACAGCCCTGAATAAAAAGTGCTCAGGGATTCTTACTGGAAACGCAGCTCCGCTCCCTGCAAACCGAAGCGGATTGAACAGTTCTGTGTCGCCAGCTGAAACCAGGAGCAATGTCAATTTCTGAGCACCCAGGCAATTGATCATTTACCTGCATGCCCATATTTAGAGAGGCAATGAGCTCATTAGGGGAATTAAGACGCTCGTTCTATCAGGTATTAACGCTGGGGGCACTTTGCTGCGTGGTTTGGTATTCATGCTCAGGGCAGGGACGTGAGAATAGTGGCTACCATTAACCCAACTCCGCGTTAATGGAGCACTTAGGTGAAACCCGGTCGGAGGGTGAAGGCAAGGTTAAAAAGCCTTTTGTTCATGGGCTGGACCCTTTATATGAATTGTTTTATTCAGAATGAATTCAGGTCTGTGAAAAATGACTAGCGAGGCACAATATAGTTATGATGCTGTCAATATGTTTAGGTGCTTTACTGTCAACAGCTAGATTCTGGTGTCTCCCTGTTGTCTTTTAAACTTTCCAAGCCCCGTCATATTCAAGCCATCTGCTGCTAGAGGCAAGGAGAGAAAAAACTTCCAATGACTTCAGATTTCTCACCTCTGCCTGCAATACATTTAAAAAAGAGCTAAAAGGATAGACTGAAAATCCAGGGCCAGCTTTGGTATAGGTGGACGACGTCCATTTACACCTGCTGGGGATCAGTCCTTAAATGTATCTGAGCTTAACACTTCGACATGCTGAACATTATCGTTTTGTTTCTTTCTACAGGATAGATCTCTGAGCACCAATCACCATAGTACCTAGGCCTTGAGACTATTAGGGTTTGTCTTGTTAGGGGAAAACCATCTTTCCCTTTCACTGTTCTGGGGGGGCCCTAACATCATGATTATTGCTGTGGTATCTGAAAGCCAGATTCTGATCTCTGCGCCAGTGGTGCCCAGCCAGCGTTACCCCTCTGATTCCATATATTGGCAAGTAGGTGGTAGACAGAAAGTCTGTTTGTCAGACTGCCCAGGAGTGAATTTCACCCTGATTGTGCAAAGCACAGACTTTTCTAGAGAACATATGTTTTAAAAACTGCAGCCCTTCAGCAGGGTTTGACCATTCTGGGGGTTTCAAAGGCAGCAATAGTAGAACTGTGTGGTGCTGTGTACTTGTGAAAGTGGTGAGTGTTTGGGGGCCAGGGGACTGCTTGGGACTGCGTGGTGGGAGGCAGGGAGGTCAGTCTGCTTCCTTGATACTCGCAATTTACTTTTGTTGCCCTTTTTCTAGACTGCTAATCTGTGTAAACGTCAACGGGGAGATTTCTGAGGCTCAGAACTAAAAGCCAATCTCTGCATTCCCCCTGAAGTTCTGCTAGCCCTGTAGGTGCGTCTCATCAGAAAGTCACTCAATTACAGACCTAAAAGTCGCAATTCTTCAACAACAAAAACTTCAAAAACAGACTCCAACGAGAAACTGCAGAACTGGAATTAATTTGCAAACTGGACACCATTAAATTAGGCTTGAATAAAGCCTGGGGGTGGATGGGTCACGGCTACCACTCTGAAACCTATTTCCCCATGCTAATTTTCCCCTTACTGTTACTCACACCTTCTTGTCAACTGTTTGAAATGGGCCATCCTGATTACCACTACAAACGTTTTTTTTCTCCTGCTAATAACCCACCTTAATTGATTTGCCTCGTTAGAGTTGATATGGCAACTCCCATCTTTTCATGTTCTCTGTATAGATATATCTTCCTACTGTATTTTCTACTCCATGCATCTGATGAAGTGGGTTTTAGCCCACGAAAGTTTATGCCCAAATAAATTTGTTGGTCTCTAAAGTGCTACACGTAGTCCTCGTTCTTTATGCAGATCAGAGGTACACACTTTGGCTTCTTTATTCTACAGAGTCTGATCTATAGAATTCACAAAGCAAGAAGACGACCAATCCAGGGTATCCATGTGGCCTGGAAATGTAGGACCAAATTGTGCTCTCTTACACTGGTGCAAATCCAGAGTAATGCTGTTAAAGCCAATGGGGTTATTCTGCATTTACCCCGCTGACGCTGAGAACAGATTCTGGGCTGTGAAGTTTGTCGCAGTAAGCAATTTGCTAGAGCAAATACCACTCTCCAAAGTCATTAGCTGCTTTTCACCCAAGAGAATAGGGGGAAAGTCTGAGAGACAGCGGAACAATGATGCTAGCGGGAGCTACCAGGGACCTTATGCCTACGCTCTCTCCATTTTCTTGGCAGGCTCAGTCTGTAGGATTCCTGAGCAACCTGGCAGCTTGTTTTCTTACAGACGGGTAAACAGAAAACTCAGACTGCAGTGGCACTTGGCAGCCTTTCATGGAGAAATCCATTCCATTTACCACTGGCTCATTAAACTATTTCCAGCCTTTCGCTATAGATGGAGGTTCCCTATATCAATGTTGCCTCTGAGCGGGTTGTACCATATCCCCATCACCCCAGCGGGTGTTTTAGCCTCCCAAAGGCTGGTCTGCTGGGCTCTCATGATGTGGCTTTTTGTTGCCTGTCCCCAAGAAGCATGACCGTCCCCTTTGGTTTCCAAAGGAACGTTCCCATTGCAGTGCGTGGGTCACCCTCATCTCGACCTTACCTCCAGGGAGTCGTCAGCGTTCACCATCCAGCAGTCTGTCCAGGTGGCTGCTATCAAAAACCCAGCAGAGAAGAAGGCGAAGAAACACGCGACATATTGGAGAAGATACCTCATCCCAACGAGCGTTCAGCACGTCCAGGGCATAAAGAACACCACCTCCCAGGGAGCCTCCGGGCCTCAGTTCACTGCTCCTGTCTTTCAACAGCCATCAAGCGAGTGAAGTTCCCTTTTCTTTTACAATCACTAATGCTCAACTGTACAAAACTTAATGTTGCTGTGAGAACAATACACACCGGCTGCAACCGAAGGAGGAGGGTCTGAGAGGTCATCCGAAGCAACCGAGCCCTTGCAGCCAATCAGATTTGTTCAGGTAAAACTCGCTATGGCTGGGAAAAAGCAACTCAAGTTATGCAGAAAGTGCATGCAGGCAATTAAAGAGTCCCAAACTTCCTTGGAATGATGGTCAGGGTTGGTACAATTTGCAGCTTGTCTATGAGCTAGGGAAGTGGTAGAAGAGGAATCAAAATGTAAGCTTCAGGATAGAAGTTTTTTTAATTCCCAGAGATCAGGGAGGAATTTGCCCCCCTCTCTCTCTCTGTCTGTGCCAGAGCACTAGGCAATTGATAGGGGTGCACTTACAAAACGGGCTAGGTTTTACCTTCCTTTGAATCATCAGGTACCCCTGGGTCTCTGCTGGAGGCAGGATGTCAGACTAGATGCACTGGTGATCTGATTCAGTATGGAAATCTGTTACCTTTAAAAAGAAAGAAATATTGAAGAGACAAAGGCCCAGACAACCCAACATGGACACACACCCCTCCCGCCCCCTCCCCGAGAACAGACCACCCCTCCCTGGGTGAACTCAGATCTGGAGCTGGGCATTGCAAATGAGTCAAATCAAAATGTGGGCTCCAAGTTCAGTGGGCTCTAGGTCGGTCGCAATCTGAATTCAGACCCATATGATGGAAGGGCTAAATTCTTCTAAAAGCCTTTTTTGTCTGCTCATCCTCTTCATTCGAAATCCAGGTCCTGTCTACCCTGTTTTACCTGAAGGATGCTATAGATGAATAGACTGCTGGTACGATCTGGAGAGGAGGGAGAGCGTGTCATTAAACCTGAGTCTTTGAGAAAGGAAGTGATTTGTATTCAGACTGTTAAAAATTATTTGCCTTTTATTTAAGGCTTGTCTACAGGGTGGCGCAGTCCAGACAACGGAGATGCGAACGGCAGCGTGCACCAGCTCGAACTGACTGTGCTGGTGCGAACTAGAAGGTACCTAGTTCATGTTTATGTAGTTCAGTTTCAACCAGGATTACGTTATGCTCACTTGGTACCTTTTAGTTCACACCAGCACAGTCTACACAGGCAGGGAGAGTGCTACACATTAGCACACTCTACAAGTCACACCCCCTTAGACCACACTGCACCACAGAGTAGACAAGCCCTTTTTAATCTCACACGCCTGAACAGACAATTGAGAGAAGAGATGTGCTTGTTCAAGGTTCCTCACTCGCCACCACGTTACTCAAGGGATCAGAACACTCACAGTGAGGGCTGGAAATGATTTTCTCATCCGGTGAGAATTTTTGAGGTTCCAAAAACGTTCCCCTCCTGAATCAGGACAAAAGGTCAAACGTTTGAAAATTTTTACAAGCCAACAAGCTGAAAAAATAAAATCGGTTCGGCTCAATTGAAAAGTTTTGTTTCAATAATTACAAAATTTTTCTTTTTGATTTCTGACCTAGTTGTGGTAGAAATAAAATTACATTTCAAAAGAACTGAAAAACGGAAACTTTTTGTTTTGAGCCTGTGGAAATGGGATGTTTCAGCGATTTCAGAACTTTTGTTTCTAACATTCATTCAAGTCAGAGAATTCTTCCGCAGGGACCCTTTTCTGCAAACAGTTTCCATTTTGATGAACCAGCATTTTTCAGAAAAACGTTTTGTCAAAATTTCCCAATCAGCTGTACAGGTCTGTCGCATCTTACACGCATTTAACATGTGTGATTTCAGCTTTATGCGGTCGGCAAAAACAAAACAAAACAAAAAATGAGAGAAATAACAATTTTAATACTGTACCTGTAGTGCGGGCGATTCCGCCCGCCATTGAACTCAATGTAATTTTGACTATACCTGGTTTTCGCTTTACGGGCTAATCGCGGAACGGAACCCCCGCGTAAGATGAGACTCGCCTGTACTCACCATCCTCGCCTGAGACTTCCAATGAGTCCTCCAGTAAAAGCGAGGAAGACTAAGATTAGAATTCCTGATATTTTCAAAGGTACAAACAAGCAGAAATCCCCATTTCTCTAACGTTTTTATTTGGGGTGGGGGGGGGCTGGAGACTCTTAGGAAACTCTCTAACGATGGGCAAATCTCCAGTTAGATTAAACACGTGGCTGGGAGCCTGGAATGCCTTAACTCTAATTCCAGCTCTGCTACCGACTCTGTGTGTGACGTGGGCAAATCACTTAACTTCTCTGTGCCTCAGTTCCCTCATATATCAGATGGAGATAATGATCCTTACCTGTCTCACAGGATGGTGACAAAGGTTATTATCCAATGTTAATGGAGCACTCTGAAAATAGAAAGTGCTTTATAGTGCCTCGATCCTGCAGTGATGAGTGTACTAGAAATGCCACAGACAGACAGGGCCTGATTTTAAATCAGGCTTCCAGTCATTGTATGCACAACTTATGATGTCATGTAGATGTGTAAATACCTGATTGTGCCTACAAATCTGTAGATGTGCAAGTGACCGTGCCTCCATTAATGATGACAGGTGCAAAACGGCATGCACAATTTCTCCAGGTGCTGGTGTGGCCCTCATCATAGTTCACAAGTATATTAGCTAGGTGTAAAAATGGAGACCAGCTTTTAAAAACTACGCCCATCGGGCCTAAGCAGAAATTATTACATATTAACACTTGCTTAGTCATGGAAAGTGAGACTTGAGTTACCAGCGTCGTTGGCTCCCCTAGGTACTCTGTGACTTCCGGCTGGTGCTTTAAACACGATCTATTTAGGTCAGCCCATGGATTTAGTGCTCCCCAGCCCCAGTCGCTGTGGAACCCTGGCCTGCCAGGACTGCTGAAGCAGCATGAATAGCCCAGAAGAAGGTGTTGGGGGGGTGAGGGGAGCAGGGTGCCTTGTAGCACCCAAAGTGCAATATTAATGGGTCTTCTTGTCTTGTCCAGGCGTCCATGGCTTCCCGGCTGTGACCTCACTGCTTGAGGGAGGAAATGTGTGTGTGTGTGTGTGTGTGTGTGTGTGTGTGTACATGCACAGCAGGGGGAAATGTGACCATCACCTGGGCTTTAATAGGTATGGGACATAGAGAACTCTGGGGATACATAAAAAAAAACTCATGATCTATAGTATTGCTAACTCTAAACATTTAAGGATGATGAACCGGCTGCCCCAAATCATGAGACTGGTTTATAAATCATGAGACTCAAAAGTGAACAGATGGGAGGTTCTTTATATTTACTTTCAGGTGCTGCAGCATTCTAGGGCTCATGTTTTCAAGCTCTTCTCCACAGTCGGGAGGACTAGAAAGTTACTTTTTCTTTTAAATGAAAGCTGAGATTCTCCTGGAATAACCTGATTCCAGCAGCTCAGGCTTTAGGGAAAAACCAACTATCACGGTAAAATCACAGGAGCTGGCGATGCTGGATCTGCACCTCTGTTTAAAATCATGCCCCAAGCCAATGGGTCTCACTAGAAACCACAGGGCACAAGAATCGACCTCCTAAAGGAGCCCTTGACCAGAGACACCCTTAGCACCGTAAACCTGCTACCACCACAATTACATCCTTGCTGGCCGTTCAGAGGGGATAGGATTTAAACCCAGCATGTGTTTTAAATACATTAGGGATGGAAAGACCCAGGAGGCTATTCCAGCCATCCCCCTGCCAGTGCAAGATTATTCCCCTTGGTTCTATCTTCAGCGATTTTCTCCGGTGCTGTTTTAAATCTCCCAGAATGATGGGGTTTGCACCACTTCCCTTCTGAGCCTGTTCCTGCCTGTCATCTAAACTCTGACCTGAAGGTGGCAGCAATTCTGTACTATTAACAGAGCTGCTCAAAGCTCACCATTAATGCATGCCTCTTTTGTGATGCTTAGCCCATTATTATTATTTACAAGAGAAAAGGCTACACGGTGACACAGAAAAGCCCCTTTGGCAAATCTCACAGATCTTCCCTGCAAACACCTTTCATTCCACTCACTGCCCCCTGGGAAAAAGCCGCCTCCCGACGGCAGAGCCAGCATAGAGGCTTGGCGGGCGCTGAGTCTGGGACAGCCGAGGGTCGCAGATCGCCCGGGTGCTGGGAGAGTGGATATGGAGTTAGGGCTTAGTACCAGGAAGATCCCTGGGTGTCTGAGGCTGTGCTGTGCCTCTCCATGCCTGACCCCGGCTCTCGGGATGGTCCCGACTGCGTCCTTGTTTATCTTGCCCCATGCCCTACATTGTGGGTTTGCGTGTGACACCATCCCCTCCGCCGCCTCTACACCATCTGCCCGGACGTGCAGGCAAGTGACCTTCCCCAGAGGCAAATGCTCGTGCTGCAGCTTGCCCAGCCGCGAGTCATCACAAGGAAGTGGCCACGCGCTGCCCTAGGGCTCCAAGACACCCTGGAGCTGGCAACCTGAGCAGCACGACTGGTCCCTCCGGAGCCTGCAGCAGCTGGACCTTTTCAGCCTCCAGCAGGTGCTCTCTGGACCCCTCTGCTGCCAGACGGAATTAGACTGATGCTCCAGCCAAGCTAGTGTCCCACCTCCTGCTGCCATTAGCCCAACCAGCAGATGATATGAAGAGTTCCTCATATGTATATGGTCCCACTGGGCCATAGCCCAGAGAACTGGCAAAGGGAGGGGTAAATTAGACCCCCAGTGCCAGCTAGCATTGCCCTATAGGAAGTCAGGCATGTTTCTGCTACCATCCTCCTTGGATTTCTCGCCGAGGGGCAAAAGCTTTGAATTGCACCAAAGGAATCGCAGGAGCCGCTCAGAGGAACTGCTAAACAGCATCATTCCCATCTGCCCCAGCCAGGC